TTAAATATTTTAAAAGCTTAAAGGTTTTGAGTTTTAATTTAAAAAACACGAAATTTACTAATTTTTTTAAAACTATCAAAACGTAATTTCTAATTTTTAAATTTTATTTTATTTTATTTTTTTTAATTTGATTTAACGAAATTACAAACTTTGATGTTTCTACTTATAATATTTCGCTAAATTTACTTTTAATCTCTTAAAGCAATAATATTTTATTAAAATTTATGTAACAAAAATTAAAATAAAACTTTTAATTATTACTTAATAAAGAAAAAGAATTTCTCAAAAGATTATTTATCAATAAACATCCTCTGATACTCACCATTGGCAAAAGAAATGATTATTTTAGTAATAAATATTTATGTTCCATGTAAATTAAGTATATTTCTGTCATAAACATTCTAATTTTTATTTTTCTAATGAATTTTAAATATAATTTATTTAACTAGTAAAGTATAAAATTAAGCAAATATGAATCAAATAAGAAATATATATATATAAATAATTTAATTCAGTAAAACTAATATTTTTAATATATATTATATATTAAGATATGATTTATGATTCGTCTATCTGTAAACAATTAATACGAGTTTTATTTATATATGTGTACAGTACATCTACACATAGTTAAATAAATTTTCAATTGCTGTAAATTTTATCACACATCAGCTATTCTAACTTTGCTATTTCCCTTAGGCGAAGTATTGAATGATATAGAGAATCCCTAATGACTTATGAGAGTTTCTTTCAGTTGAAAATCATAGATACATTTTACTTAATGCTGAATAGGACGGATTACGAAAGGGAAACGTCGAGAGAAAGAGAGGAAATATCACCGAACTGGGATTTATTTCACATTAGTTTATGCTTTTACAGTTTTGAGAGATCTTATAATGGAAAATGAGTTGGATTGAGATATTATAGAAAAATCATCNTTGCTGAATCATCCAAAGTCAACTTCTAGAACGTCACTCATCCTTTAAACCAGTGAATCATCATCATTATTATCATCATCAAGGAAAATTAATTTATTACTCTATAGTTATTATTTATTTATTTAAAAGTATAATTTAATACTTACGAATTTATAATAATTTAAATTAATTCTAAATAAATACAGTATTATAAACGTAAGAATCAATTGTTTATCATTAACTTTCTATAGCAATTGATGCAGGTGGAAGTATCAATGTGATAAATATTGACTCTTTTTTTGGTTCATTTGTAATAATTTCCTGCAAAGAACAATCATTCGGTTTATCACAATCATTCTTTCGATCGGCATTTCTCTAACATTATTGATTTCTTCAGCATTTGTCGAATTCAACTTGCTAGAGATGGTGAAGCACTGCAACCTAGAAAATTAAATAAGAGTGTTCACTGACTCATAGGTCAAGTTTCTTCCTAATTAGAGACAAGAGAAAAACATTAACTTTTATTCCTTTTTTTTATGTTATTATTATTTTTTTTTTCTTACTTTTTTTCCTACGATTTTACTAGTAATTGATCAGCAATTCACGCCGATGATGATGATTGTGATGAAGATTTTTATGCTTGTTGATTTTATTAAGTAATAAAAATTTATGTGTATAAAATTGTTAAAGAATAGATATAAAAATGTGATTATTTTAATTTATAATTTACGTTAGATATATTTTATTTAAACGAAATTAAATTAAACATAAGTAGGAAATCGTAAAATAATAGCACGATAAAGTATTTATCTTTGTATAATTCATAGCGAAAAGAGAGAATTACAATTTCATTTATAACTAAAAAATAGTTTGGATGTAAAGACGAAGATTTAAAGGATTGTAAGAGAAAAGATTTATCCTTTCCGTGGATTTGTTTTGAAGCCCAAGCGATCAATATATAAAAGCTGATTTTCAGAATTTCAACTGCTAATGTCTGTTAGTGTAGAATAATTCTAGCAATAATCATTAGTTATTCCTGTCACGTTCTTCTGATGTTTCTGTATAATGTAGACAAGAACCTACAGTATGTACACCGCATAACTTGATGGCAGCTGTTTAATATGGCTAATTGAAAAGAATACAGGGTATAAAGTTTAATAACCGAGCTCCACTCATAATTTACTACTATTGATAAATCATTAATTTTATTTTGCTTACCACTCATTATTCCCTTTCCCAAAACACACAAAAATATGTAAAAAAATTATATATATAAAATAATTTTTAATTATGTTTACTCACTAAAATACTATAAATCATCGAAATTAATTATTTTAGAGAATACTAGAGAGGTTTATTTTTGCCGAAACGATATATTATGAAGAAATTTTACATTTTTAGTAGATTTTTTTTTGAAAAATTTTAATTACATAATTTAAAAATTATTACCATATTTTGTAAGGAGAGCGTTAAATATTTTATTTAATCCCTAGTTTAGTTTCTTAAAAAGAAGATTTAATNGATATGATTTATGATTCGTCTATCTGTAAACAATTAATACGAGTTTTATTTATATATGTGTACAGTACATCTACACATAGTTAAATAAATTTTCAATTGCTGTAAATGTTATCACACATCAGCTATTCTAACTTTGCTATTTCCCTTAGGCGAAGTATTGAATGATATAGAGAATCCCTAATGACTTATGAGAGTTTCTTTCAGTTGAAAATCATAGATACATTTTACTTAATGCTGAATAGGACGGATTACGAAAGGGAAACGTCGAGAGAAAGAGAGGAAATATCACCGAACTGGGATTTATTTCACATTAGTTTATGCTTTTACAGTTTTGAGAGATCTTATAATGGAAAATGAGTTGGATTGAGATATTATAGAAAAATCATCCACTCAGATTTATCTTTTCTAATAATGTAATTTGATATTTCCGGAGACGATACGAAAGAAAATGTTCGATAATGCATGTCACTTCGAAGAGGTAGTTTACCTCTTGCCAATTTATCAATTTGTTCTATTCCTCCCCCTCTTTCATTTTTTACTTTATTGATATCCTTAACACGAATAAATCTAAATATATTTTGCTTTCATTATTACAACATATTTATCTCAAAAATTATAAAAATATAAAGTATATATATATAGATTATAGATTAATAATTGCTGAATTTACTCGTAAAATTTTAAGTGTTTATTTTTAATTTTTTTAAAAAAAAATTATATAATTTATAAATTAA